TTAAAATCAATTATATGAAACTGCTACACTTCTTTAAACTATTTCCCATGTGAATTATGATGCTGGACAAAATTAGATGATTTATAAAACAGTTACATATTTGTACCTTATAAACTTGATGGGTCATCTTAATTTTTTTTTTAATTAAAGATTATTAAACTTTAAAAATTAAATTTAGTTGGCTTTTCTGGCTTTATTGGATAGGATTTAAAGCAAAAGTAGGAAATGAAGTCAGAGTGCTTAGCATTTGAAATGTTAAAAAATGGAGCACCCATAGCAATGCAATAGAAATATACAGAAGGAAGATAGAATGACAAAAAGAAAAGTTTAAAGTACTGATGATGGCTACTTGCAATTCTTGGTTTAAACAGTAATTCTAGAAGAAACGTAGCAGCCAATCTCTTTTTAAAAGGATAACGAAGACAAAGGAAACAAACTCAACATTTTTTTTTGTTTCTCTAACTCAAGGCTATTTTAAAAAAAAACCGTTTTGATTCAACCTTCCAAGCAATCCAGCATTAAATACAGGGCCTCCCTCCCTTGAGTGCATTTGTGGGGCGTTTATTGCACCAGACTCTTTAAGGCCTAGTTCCCATAATCTTTCTGGTTTCCTCCTTCTGAGTGGTCATGGAACAGTTGAAAACACAGCTGCTTGAATATATGAAAAGTATGATCGGACTCCTTTCCTTGTAGTGTTGTAGTATGCTGAATACAGGGTGCCCCTGGTCTAGAGGAAATATAAATGGGCACCTGTTATGCCATCTACAACATCTGTGCGAATACATTATCAGAATACAGAATACCAGAGTTGGAAGGGACTTTGGAGGTCTTCTAGTCCAATCCTCTGCTCAAGCAGGAGATCATATACCATTCTGGACAAATAGTTGTCCAATGTCATCTTAAAAACCTTCACTTTTGAAGGCAAGCTGTTCCATTGATTAATTGTTCTTAAGTTGGTAAATTTCTCCTTAGTTCTAGGTTGGATCTTTCTTTGATAAGTTTCCATCCACTGCTTCTTGTCTTGCTCCCAGGTGCTTTGGTGAATAGGTTGTCCTTCTCTTCTTTGTGGTACAATGGCAGGTTACTCATGGGGGAGACCATGAGTCTCTTTCTGAGACTATCTGCCCACCCTACCAGATCCAGGTAGGGTCCAGGTTCCTTTCCTAAATCGAGTGGGAACTTGGAAAAGCCCCTTCCCATGACTGCCCCTATCTTATGGAACACTTTTATCCAGCAACTAACAATCTTTTTAGCCTTTAAGAAGACAATTAAAACCTGTTTCTTTGCCCAGGCAATGGGTAAAAAGTGGACTGTGAAGAGTTTTGAGGCATTTTGGAGGTTGATTGAGGTGCTAGGTTCTTAAGTTCTCTATGTTTATATAGGTTTCTTAGTTTTATTGCTGTGAGCCTCCCATCTCAAATTGTCTGGATGGGCAGCCATGCAATTTTTAAAAAATAAATAATAAATGTAGTGTGATCCATGGGACATCTATGGAGGAAGGAACTTTCTCACCACTATGAAAGAGAGTGGGCATAGGTTACATTTCATGGAGTTGACATTCTGTAATAAAGAACAATTTTACTCCAATTAAGAAAGTTTGGCAAACTGATCAGTGGTGAAAGATATGATAACGTTACTCTAATTCATTGTGATTGTTTAGGAAGAATTTCTCATTGTTCCTTTATCTTGTAGAATACAGTACTCAGTAATTGAGCAACATTGCTGAAATAGAATATTAGCAATGGTGAATGTATTTAATGCATTCCTGATGTGCAAAGTAGTAAGTAATAAGGAATTTGTCAAAAATGTTCTCCAGGAGGAAAAAAAATAATTTCATTAAAAAGGAATTGCAGTTATATTCATTTGATAGAGCTTTGTTCCCTTTTTAACAATTTTTAATATATGAATAGCATCTCTTGATATAATCTACAAAAAATATTTAAGAAATGTATTCATATCACTGACCACTAAGTCCATGACTCTGTGCTGGAACATGGTAGACTAGAACAAAACATTTTGGTTCTGGTTCCTTATACACATACAAATATTTAAGACGTTTCATTTGAATTATCTTTTGCAATTGAATTATGCATTATTATGATTTGTCAGTGGCAAATAGATTGTATCTTCCCTGTATATTAAAACCTATCCAAAACTGACCATGAATAAAACACTGTACTGAATAACAACTCATAGGGTTGTAAACAAACAAAAAAATGTTACAAATGTAGCCATTACAAAACTTGTGCATTGAATGTTGGAATAAGAATGGCCTTTCTTCTGATATCTTTAAGAAAATTCATAAACTATACAAGGTGTCCATTGGGAATCAAGTGTGCTTTGCCCTTATTTGAACAATATTCTAAAAGGTTGCTAAATCGTAACCTACCCGAATTAATTTCATAGTGGAAGTGATAAACAGGGGGAAAGGGATTTACAGTTGCTATTAAGAAAGTCTGTAAAGTTTGATATCTTTATATTTTTTAGGAATAGATATTTTTGGAAGCCTGGAAATTAGTGTAGCATTTTGTATATAGGCAAGCAGTTTGAAATTGGTGTTAATGAGTAGAAAGCAAAAAGTTAGCCCACTCCTTTCCTCACTATTCTTTCTTTTTATTTTACAGTGTTAAACATAAGTAATTGCTGACTCGTTTGCATTTCAAGTAACTTTATTTTAATAATAATAAAGCCCATAGTTTGCATTTGCATATTTCATGGACCACTAGGAATACACTAGTAATGATTTACAGATCAGTATATTTACAAACATCTACTGTATGACACAAGATAAGACACTCGCCGCCTCCTGCACCTCAAAAATAATAAGACCTCCCCCAAAATAAGGCCAAGCACTTATTTCTTGAGTCAAAAGGAAATAAACCCTCTTCTTATTTTCAGGGAAACAAGGTACATGTGTTAGAATAACATAACTGCTATAAGCATATCCATTTATATAACTTCTTTAGTTGTAGCAGTTTCATTTAAAATTCTCTCAACAATGGTACTTTTTTTCTCGATGACAACACTTTGAATTCTACGAAGTATTCTATGTAGTATGTTTTAAAGGTTTGGAATTTTGTCCTGATTTACACTAATGATTTTTATCTGTCTCTTTCTAGATGTTACATCTTAGGACAAGTTGACAGTATCTCTCAGATGAACCTCTGCTTAAAAGTATGCCATTTGTACATGCTACTCAATCTTCTTGAAACATGGGTGAAAAAGACAACGATAAGTACCACCAAGCTAATCAAATATTTGAAAGCTTTGTTCAAGCCTCAACATGCAAAGGTTCGATTCAGGCTTTTAATATTCTCACTCGCCATCTTGAATTAGATCCTTTGGACAACAGGAACTTTTATGCCAAACTTAAATCAAAAGTGACCAGCTGGAAGGCCAAAGCTTTGTGGAATAAGCTAGATAAAAGGGCAAGCCATAAGGAATATAAACGTGGAAAATCTTGTACAAGCACAAAGGTAAGGTGAATTTTGTACTTTATTTTGAATCTGATCATGCTTATATAAATCAGGTGACCCTCTGGTTTTATAGAAGAAATTTTGGGATACTTCTTTAGGTTTAATAATACCGTGTTTCCCAAAAAATATGACATGTCCTGAAAATAAGGCCATGCCACATTTTTTAGGTGGACAAAAATGTAAGCCCTCCCCTGAAAATAAGCCCCCTGGACAACCACCACCCCTATAGCCAGGCAGAGTGCCACTCACCGACCTAGCAGTACCCCAAAAGTGCCAAGCCGTGGGAACGAGGTGGGGGGCAAAGGCTCGCATTGCTTGTTGTCTTCAAGATATCGCTAGGTCAATGAGGGGCACTGTGCCCATCTGGGCAGCTACTCTCTTGATACTCTCTTGCAAGCGGGCTCCCGAAGAGCCGGGCACAACCTCAGGGTTGAACGGCTGTGTTGCACTGTCGCAGCAACACTACACAGCAGCCATTAGGTGACCATGCTCATGAGCAGCCACCTGGCAACCCCCCGCTTTTTCTGCGGCTTCCAAAGCACAGAGGTAGGATGCTGAGTCTTCCAGCAGTTTCCGCTCTGGGAGTACGCTCTATGGTTGTACACTCTGGGAGTATGCTCTGCCGGCAGCTAGCCCACAACCATAGAGCATACTCCCAGAGTGGCAACTGCTGGAAGACTCGGCATCCTACCTCCATGCTTTCGAAGCCACAGAAAAAGCTATGCGGTGGCAGTGGGCTGCAGTGGAAATGCCCTGGCTCTGCAGGGAGAGTTAGGCAAGGGCATTGTGACCCTGGGAGTCCCTGAGCAGGAAGCAGAAAAGCCGCTCACGGACCCCCCTCTCCAGCCATGCAGAGCTCCATTCACTGACCTAGGGGAATTCCGAAGGTGGGAAGCCGCGGGAGCCGGAGGGCGACGAACAGGCACTCACGTGGCTTGGTGATACCCCTAAGTTAATGAATGGCGCTGTGCCCAGCTGGAAAGGGGGGATGCCGGGCGGCTGCTCGGCAGCCTCATGGCTGCTGTGTACTGCTGCTGCGACAGCATAACACAGCCATTCGACCCTGAGGCTGTTCAGGAGCCCACTCGCAAAAAAGCAGCTGCCCGGCAACCCCAAAACAATAAGCCCTCCCCTGGTAATAAGGCCCAAGTCATATTTTGTGGGTCAAAAGAAAATACGACCCTGTCTTATTTTTTGGGAAACACGGTATTTCTCCACAAACTTCTCCTTATGGATAAAAGTTCAAAAGTCTATTCCTATGCTTTGCTATTCATACATATTATATCATAAGCCAACGTACATCTGTTTTTTAGTATTTGAAAGTTGAGCATGATATATACTTGTAAATTTCCAGTTATTTTAATCTCTATTGTAAATATAACAAAAACAAATTCATGTGTTAATTTTAATATATTAAAATATATGCACTTGCTTCACCTACTCACCTTTTGAGGAAGATTATTATCATATTTAACTTGCATTGAAAATCGATGCATTCAAAGTCAAAAATGCAAGGTGTGCTGGGAATACTTAATAAGAAACCAAAGCAGCTTTTTAGTTTCCACTCTCAGCTTTCATAAGAACCTCTGAGTGAATGATCACTATGTAGGTGGAAGGGGAACATCCTTATTGAAAAACTGAATCCATTTGCACTCAATTAGGTTAAAATGCTTTGTTTCAAACGCAGGAAATCAGCAATCAGCAATCCAGGCAGTTCAAATGAATATAAGGGTTTATTGCAAGCTTAAGCTCTCTACAAGAATCTGAATGACTACAGTCAAAGCAAATTGACACTGTTGACAAAGAGTCAACAGAATTCAAATGAACTGGACTTAGATCCCTTGTTGACATGAAGGGATTTGAGATTTGTGACATGCTCCCCCCCCCTCACTCCCCTTAGCCTCATCCTGGTCATCTTCTACACTTTGAACCTGACTAATTAATACAATTAGTCCTCTATTAATGACAATAATTAGGGCCAGCAACTCTGTCGATAAACAAAGGGGTTGTGAAACACAATGTTACATGATCACATCAACTCATGTAGTTTCAGTTGCAGTTGTTAAGTGAATCCTGCACAGTATTTTAGCTCAATATCACAAGATTCAGATTTGGGCCCTCCTGCCAGTTTCCCATCGACTTTGCTTGTTGGGAGCAGGCAATGAAGATCACAGATGGTGATCATGTGACCGCAGGATCCTGCAGTCCAGAATTGTGAGCCGATTGTCAAGTGCCTGACTATGGAGATGCTGTGACAACCTCAGCTTTGAGAACTGACCATACGTTTCCTCATACATCACTGTCCTACCTGTGAATTGAGTCCTTAACTGTAGCACTGATGTAAATGAGATAATTTGAGCTACATGTTGAATTATGGAATATGTACAACTTAAGTAGTTAGTATCCTTCTCTAATTAAGGATTTTTTAAAATGTGTTTTCTGTTCCCAGGATAGAAAAGAATTGGACTATCCCAAATTTTATTATTAACAATGGCTTTTTGTCATTTTTAAAAATGTGAATATTCCACAGAAATTAAAACAAAAATGACATTTTAATAGAAAATAGTATCAATTAATAAATTTCAGTTACTCCAAAGTGATCCAAAATTGTTTTATCTACTATCAGAGTAACCAGACTGTATGTATGGAAATGCTTAATCTGAGGAATGTAATGAAAACACTGACTGAATTGCCAGCCAAATGTAGCTATCAAGCAAGCATTCTTTACTGATGAATCATTGTTTCCTGTCAAAAAATATCTATGATATAAATATGAGTGATAGGAAGTGCAAAACAAGAACAAATCCCAAGTGACTAATTTCAGGCAGTACTGGTATTAAGATACTAAATATACTAGGTTTAGCACCTTAGAAGATTACATTACATGCCAATATATAAATCAGTTGTGGAACTAAAATCTTCCATACAATTAGCGAGAACAAATATACTTGGAATAAAATATGGTTCTGATGTTGATCATAAATGGTCATAGAATTAAACTTTGTGGACGAGCTAGAATGTTTCGCTAAATGTTAGAAAATCATGTTGAAATTCCTGCGTAGTCATAAATAGCATAGCAGTCTTGCATCTTATTGTTTACATTATTTCTGATTGTCTGTCTGTCTGTCTGTCTGTCTATCTATCTATTTATCTACCTACCTACCTACCTACCTACCTACCTACCTACCTACCTACCTACCTATCATCTATCTATCATCTATCTTGTAGCCTTAAAATGTATATATTGTATTATTTATAATGTGGTATATAAGTATAAAATACATAAAATAAAAATAAATGTAATGGTTAAGGCATTAGGCCACAAACTGGGAGAACGTGAGTTCTAGTGTCACCTTAGGTGCAAAGTCAGCTGGGTGACTCTGGGCCACTTTCTCACTTTCTCTGAGTTCTAGAAAGTAGGCAATGACAAACCACTTTTGAAAACCTCCCCAGGAAAAGTGCAGGGATCTTTAAGAATCAGACATAATCGAATGGAAGAAACTACATACATACAGTAGTGAAAAAATAATAAATAAAATATCTGAAACAAAAAAACAGGGAAATCAATAGATTTATAAGAAATAAACAGTGACATTCAGTTTTAAATAAACATATTTTCAGATGTTGGCTACAGCAATATTAGAATAGACAACTTTTTAATGGTTGAGGGAGAACTTTGACAGATAAATCTCTGCTTTTGTAGGACAAAGTAAGCATTTCTATATCTATTTTAGCCTCTGTTTATAGTATAGTCTTTATTGTCATTGTACAAAATAAATACAATGAAATTAATTAATAGGAATGCCTATCTAAAATCAATTTTGAGATAGGAGTAATGCAAAAAATCTGAACCACATTTTCCATATTTATTAAATTGGAATCATTGTATTTTCTGTAATATTGCTTCTTTGAATTTCTGCATATTTTTACTGAACTCGATTGGTAGTCATAATTGGAAAATGGGGTTTTGGGTAGAATAATCACTTGTATTATTACTTATGCTTCTGAAACAGCTGAATTTAGTCTATTAAATACTGTACAAATGGGTCTGCAGAGCACCTACGAGAGGACCAAACCTCTTTCAATAATTCAATAATCTTGACAGTAAAAGCCATTTCGCAATGTTAGCTCTTGCATACTGTGGAAGGGAAGGGGGTGTATCCAACTAAACATTACTTCATTATCATTACTAGTAAGTCAATTGTGCATTATTCAGGATGGAGGGATTCATCTGGATCAGAACTCCAGATGGAAGTGAATGATTTACTACCTGCCTTGCTATAGTTCTGATCTCTCTCTCTCTCTCTCTCTCTCTCTCTCTCTCTCTCTCTCACACACACACACCCCATTTCCCTGCTTGTCAGATACCTGCTGATCTAATATCAGTAGAAGCAATGGGTGGCTTTTTCAATGGGGTAGATATGTACAGAGAGGGTTGGGCAGGCTCTTTAAAATTCGTGCAAATGGAACACCCACAACTGTCTGATGCAGTCCTAACCACTTTTCCCCTGTCAGTGCTTCAAGAGCAGACAGACTGGCAATAAGTATATTGCTTAATCTGTTTGGTTTGCTTGATAATGTCTGGAATACAAACTGAGCAATTTTTTTTAATGCACTTCCACAGTAAGATACATAAATACTTCACCATACCCTTTATGCATTTCCAGCTAGCTGAATCAAGGTACACAAACACTGTATGTTGCAAGTGTGCTCCTTGATAGTTTAACATTAAACTTTATTGTTTCTTAGCCAAGGCTTGAAATGATAGATCATTTTCTCAGGAAGTTAATATTTAAAAATATGAATTAGTGTACATTATAATGGAAGAAAAAAAAAACCATTCAAGCTAAGACTATCTTCTTGCTACTCAAACAAAGTAAGGTATTCTGAGAAAAAACAGCAGCAATTGTTATATGTATGATAACAATTTCACCCCCATCCCCATTTTCTATCAGTTTGAATGTAGTTAGATTTGGACATTTATAAAAAACACATTTGAT